TTTTTTTTTTTTTGCTATAATACATGGAAGAAAAAGAGATGCTGATAAATTCCTGTATTGTGGCCCAAGTAAAAGAAAGCCAGGAAGAAAAATTCAAAGTGGTAGACAGCAAGAAGGCAGCCTGGCAGAGTGACTAACACTCTTGACAAATGCATCTAATGTTACTGAGCCTGGCAGTCCAATTTCAAAGATGGTGGGTGCTCTTGGTCTCTGTAAAGCACCCCCCGCCCCACCCCCCACACACACACCCAACACATGGTACCATAATGAACCACACAGAGGACCAGAGATGGCATGCTTATTACCGAAGACTCATTTATCAATATATTGGAAACAGCTTAAAAATTACTTAAACTACAGAAACAGAGAAGTTATGCTAAATGGAGTCTGAAGATTCGAACAGATGAAAAATATAAATACTTGTCTTAAAAATATTTAGCTATCTCCCAAAGGAGTTATGTCCAGAAGGAGATATGGGGAGGAGGCAAAATTCGAAGTGATAATTGATAAGAATTTCTCAAAGTTACTGAAAGACACCAATCCCCAAATACAGAAAGGCCCCAAATTCCCAAGTACAACAGAATGGGGGAAAAAGTCACACATAAGACCATCATAATGAAATGTCCAATACCAAAAGGAAAAAACAGAAGACATTAAGAGCAGCCAGAGAAAAAAATGGATCACCGGAAGAGGAAATGCATTCAGGCTGCAGTGAGCAAGCTGGGAGGAAAGAACAAAGGCCGGAGCACAGCAGAGAGCTCCACAGCAGTGACTGTAGGGCATGTGAGGACCAGAGCCAGCTCCAAGAGTATCTCTCTGCCACAGGAGCCTCAAGTCACAGGGTGTGACTCTGCATCCTCCCCCAGTTAAAGTGAGTGGGCTTGGGGGGGGCTTCTGTGACTGCTTCAACCAACAGAGCAAAAGGAAGGCTATATGACTTCTGAGGCTACATGGGGTCTCAGCTTTCGTGCTGGAATATTCCCTCTTGACACCTTGAGCTGCCCTGAGGCCACCAAGCTGTGAGGAAACCCAAACTATCTCCCATGGAGAGACCAGATGGACAGGCCCTGAGACTATCCAGAGCAGGAGGGAAACAGAGAAGGGGAGGAAGAAGGAGATCAGAAGAAAGGAAGAGAGCCATGGCTGACCAGCCTTCAGCAGCTTCAAACCCTCACTGTTCCAGCCCCAACCATCTGATTAAACCACCTGAGAAACCCTGAGCCCAATTCCTGACCCACAGAATCTGTGAGAAATATTAAAATGACTCGTGTAGTTTTAAGAGTTGCTAAACTTTTTGGTCATCTGCTCCACAGCAACAGATAATCGCAACACTCACACCCACCAACTGGCAGCTCTCTTTGTATCAGGTAAGAGCGATATCCACCAGCTTCACAGGACAAACCCATCCAAGAATTTTTAGCCTCCAAACACATTTGACATACTTAATACTGAATGCATATGAAATACAAGAATCTTTCTTAGTTTCTGTTCCTAATACAACTTAAAGCTAAAAATAATCGTCTTGCTTTAATTACCGTCTAGGGTACCATTCCTCCTGGAACTATTATGTAAAAAATTAAGAAAATTACCGCAAAGCAATGGTAAGAAAAAGGAACAAAGTTTGAGCTATCACAATCTCCAATTTCAAGATATACTACAAAGCTGCAGTAATCAAAACAGTATGGTACAGGCACAAAAAGAGACATTATGGATCAATGGAACAAGATTTACAGAGGTCAGAAATAAACCCACATCTATATGATCAAGTAATCTACAACAAAGGAGGCAAAAATATACAATGGGGAAAACACAGTCTCTTCAACAAATGGTGCTGGGAGAACTGGACAGCTACATGCAAAAGAAACGGGACCACTTTCTTACACCATACATAAAAATAAACTCAAAATGAATTAAAGACCTAAATGTGAGACAGGAAACCATGAAATTTCTAGAAGAAAACATAGGCAGTAATTTCTTCGTCATTTGCCACAGAAACATTTTTCTATGTCTCCTCAAGCAGGAGTAATAGAAGGAAAATTAAACTATTGGGACTATAACACAATAAAAAGCCTTTGCACAGCAAAGAAAACCACCAACAAAATAAGGCAACCTACTGAATGGGGGAAAGTATCTGCCAATCATGTAACTGATAGGGGGCTAATATCCAAAATATTTGAAGAACTTCTGTAACTCAACACAAAATAAACAATCTTACTGAAAAATGGGCAGAAGACCCAAACAGATACTCTTTCCAAACAAGACACACAAATGGGTAGCAGACACATGTAGAGATGCTCAACATCGCTCATCATCAGGGAAATACAAATCAAAACCACAATTACATATCACCTCACACCTCTCAGAATGACTAAGGTAAAAAAAAGACAAGAAATTACAATGGTTGGTGAGAATGTGGAGAAAAAGGAACCCCTGTGCACTGCTGGTGGGAATGCAAATTACTATAGGCACTGTGGAAAACAGTATGGACATTTCCTCACAAAACTAAAAGTAGAGTTACCATATGATCTAGCAATTCCACTACTGGGTATTTACCCAAAGAAAACAAATACCGATACAAAATACAAAAAGATATATACACCTACTTTCTGCAGTATTATTTACAATAACCAAAATATGGAAGCAACCAAGTGATAGACACATGGCTACAGAAGATGTGAGAGATAGATAGGTAGGTAGGTAGACAGACAGACAGACAGATAGACAGAGAGAGACAGGAATATTACTCAGCCATGAAAAAGAATGAGATCTTCCCACTGGCCACAACATGGATAGATCTAGAGGCTATAATGCTAAGTGAAGTAAGTCAGAATAAGACAAACACCATAGGATTTCACTCCCATGTGCCATTTAAGAGACAAATGAACCAACAAAGAAAATTAAAAAAAAGATGGACAAAAAAAGCAGACTCTTAAATATGAAGGACTGGTGGTTACCATAGGGGAGGGTAGTGGGGACATGGGTGGAATAAGGGGGGTTAAGAGTACAGTTATTGTGATGAGCACTGAGTAATATATAGAACTGTTAAATCATTACATTACGTACCCAAAACTAATTTAACACTATACATTATACTTCAATTAGAAATTTTTTTAAAAAAGACAATTACAGTGCAGTATCGAAGATGTTACTTAACACTAGCATTATAATCAACCTATGTTAGCCAAGCAAATCAAGCATGAAATTAAAAAAATGAACTTACCCCCTTTCCTCCTGACTTTTGGTCAAATGGTACCATGGTGATTTGTTTGGAATCCCGTTGATAGGTACAGTAGTGCTTCACCCAAGAAGTTCCAAAGTGCCCTGCAAGGTAACATTTTCCATGAAGCGTCTCCATGTGTCCAGTGCATACTGGAAACACACACAACCCATAACCCACAATGCTCATCTCCCCTTCAACTGTTTCTAGGAGCAATATACTGGAAGAGGAAGAAATCTGATCCTACAGGCTGGAACTGGAAATGACCCAGGGCTTTCCCCAGGGGCCAAGGAAGACCGTTTCCCACTAAATGCTGCATCCAATGAGTCTTAAAATATAAGGGAAGGAGAGGTTCCCTGGGGAAATTAATTCACTTTCCCATCATTAATCTCCACTTGACATTTCCTTTCTGTTGACAGGATTAAGATGACTGAGGAAAGAACAGAAGAGCTCCTCAGAGTGCCTGTCACTGTCCCCATCTGCTATGACGACTTCATGCTTCCCACAGCTGCTCTGCGAGTCTCTGCAAAGACATACATGGATTCTGACCTACTGCCAAACCCCTCATTTGTACTTTAGCAGAACTCAAGCAGACAGGCCAACTCTGACACAGAGATGTAAATGGGAGGGACTATAAATACCCCAAAGTAATGTGAGAGGTCTGTCCCTCAATACTGTCCCTCAGGAAAGGCAGACATGCCTCACAGTCAAATCCTGACAGTCCTCGATTTTCCCTGGTGGTCAGCCAATTACTTTATTTTTAATTAAAAATATTATTAGAGGAAGAAGGCATAATTAGCATTATTAGCCTCCAAGGTCCTCAGTCAACACTAGCCTGACAGGCTCCTGGAGATCACAGAGCAGAAATGGGTTGTTTTTCGTTTAAAAGAATAACATGAGATTTAACAAAGATTTAGTAATTATTTTTTAGAGTATCAGCGCCCATTTCAAGTGTGAAATGTCAATTAGTAAACTAAAAAATAAAAAGCAATATAGTAAGTGCCTACATTGAAGCATCAAAGACAAAAATACCAACCATTGTCATTTATTTTTGTGGCTTAGAGAAAATTCCAGTGATAGCACAACACAAACATTCCAAAAGCGCTCTATCTTAGAAACACTTTGAGCATCCAAGCAAGTAAGGCCAGTAATAGATTTAGCCTACTGAATAGATGAGAAATCCTTAAGTCCATTCTGACAATAGAAAGATGGCTAGGGGCACCTGGGTGGCTCAGGAGGTTGAGCATCCAACTCTTGATTTCAGCTCAGGTCATGATTTCACATTCATAGGATTAAGCCCCATGTCGGGCTCCACACTGACCCTGTGACGTCTGCTTAGGATTCTCTCTTTCTTTCTCTCTGCCCCTCCCACACTCACATGCTCTAAGTAAATAAACATACATTTAAAAAAAATTTTTTTTAAAGGGGCACCTGGGTGGCTCAGTCAGTTAAGTGTCTGACTTCGGCTCAGGTCATGATCTCGCAGCTCCTGAGTTCAAGCCCGCGTCAGGCTCTGTGCTGACAGTTCAGAGCCTGGAGGCTGTTTCAAATTCTGTGCCTCCTTCTCTCTCTGCCCCTCCCCCACCCGTGCTCTGTCTCTGTCTCTCTCAAAAATAAACAAACATTAAAAAAAAAAAAACATTTTTTTAAAAAAGATGGACAGATGGATGGGAAAGGAAAGGAGAGAATGAGACACGGAGGGAGTCACTTGCTTATAGTACAAAATGGCAACCAATAAATGTGGAGAGAGTGCCAGAGCTGAGCAATCACCACTTTGCAACCAACACAGTAACAATCATGTAGGCAAGAATTGCCGACAGATGCTAAGTCTACAGAGGGCAAAGTTTGATGAGGAGAAGGGTCTCCCCATAGACTGTTAATTAGCTACGAGGGAAAAATAGTGACTGTATAGTGGATAAACCAAATAATACCTTGACTGAGTGACCAAAAACAACATCACCACTGAGGGGCAGATGGCCATCCTGTGCCCCTGGATGTGGGACCCAGAGAAGAACACCATTTGACAAGGGACACCTAACCTGAATCTAATTATCGGGAAACAGACAAACCCACAGCGAAGAAAATTCTAGAAAAGAACTGGCCTATATTCTTCAAAAATGTCAATGTCATGAAAGACAAAGAAAAGCTGAGGCACTTGTTACAGAATAAAGGAGTCTAAAATGGTCACAAGTAAGTGCAGTACAAAATCGTATCTACACAGAAGGAAAAGAAAATGCTTTAAAGGGCTAATGTCAGGGACAATTGACAAAATTGGAATATGAACTATCATTTGCATTAAATATCTTATCACTGTTAACTGCTGGACATGGTAACTATACTGTGGCTACATAAAATAAAATCCTTATTTTTAAAAAGTGTACTCTAAAGTAAAGGAGCATGAGCTATGCAACCTGTTCTCAAAAGGTTCAGAAAAAACGGAAATGTGTGTCTCTGACTGTGACACGTGTACACATACCCACAAAGAAAAAGAAAGAGAGAACTGTGGGAAAAAGGTAAAAATTCATGCATATGGATAAAGGGCATATGGGGTTTCTTTATACTCTTCTTGTAATTTTTCTCTAAGTTTCAAATTTCTAAGTGGTAAGTTACCAAAACTTGCAAATGAAAACAGCTGTATCCCATTGGTATGCTCTGGACTAATGTGTTAGAGAATTAAAATCTAGCTCTAATGAAGACATTCATGTTTCAAAAAGCATGTGAGGTGTTTGAATAAAATTGGGTAACAAATGTGAGAATGCCAAATTCATATATATAGGGGAACAGTATTAATAAATTAAGTATTACAAGTGGACACATATTCAAGATGACCTTAAACTTTTTGGGATGGATCTCCTCATTGGGCAAAAAAGCTATCACCTTACATTGAGGCCTACACAAAACCCCACTACAGTACCCTCCATCTGTTAAAACCTCAACAAGCTCATCCCTGTAATAAAACCCTCATGACGGCCAACGCCTCCAACCTCAAACCCCACGACTGCCCCCACTATGGCCAGGCAACAATTTGAAGCCCAAGGAAATTTTTGAGGAATCACTGACTAAAATAATCAATGAAATCAAGTGTTCTGTTCCATCAGGAAGCTTCTAGGAGTAAAGACAGTTGCTTCGCACTCAGACAACAGAAGGGCAGTAAAGAGCACAAAACCAGCAAATCTCTGAAAGGAGTAACATGCTCAACTGAAAAAGTAGGGCAGACTAGGTAACTATCCATTGAAGGAAAAAAAAAAAAAAATCACCTTCTCTCATCTCTACCACTTTGTAAGCTAAGTCTGAAAGTGCTACCCTCAAAGCATAGCCCTGTCAAAAAAGCCTCTCCCCAGGCCTAGTGCAGGAGTTTGTGAGGCATCACAGAAAAGTCTGGATTAGCAGCACCTGGCATTTCTTTCCTTGACATCTCATCGGCAGGACAATGGATTTCTCTTCCTACCTCTTGGAGTAAGCTTGTGTTTCTACTTTTCATAAAATTTCAGTGCTGAGATGACAGCAGTTGAAGAGAGGAAGGAGAGGGCCTAAGTCATGACTATGTGGTCCTTGCTGAAACCAATCTTGAAGTAAACAAAATCACTCCATATTAAATCCACCCAAAGATAGGACAGCTGATAGAAAATAAGGTCTAGCATACAAGGCCATTTCAAAGCCTCTATGCCAAACGTGTGATGATAAACCCATGCTAAGTGTGCAGAGACCTCAAGCTTGACACTACGGAGAAAAAAAAAAACCATCACAGGGACTCACTGAATTCCAGGTCCCCAAGGGAATTCCCAGTAATAAAGAACAAAGAACACAGCATTTGGAGGTGGACAAGACCTTATGAACATCTCTTCCTTAAAAAGCCCAACTATAAGCTACCTTCATTCACCCAAATCTATAATTACAGAACCACTGCTCTAGGCCAGGCACTACTAGGTACACCCTCCACATCATGGCTAAAAGGCGTGAGTGTAACCCAAGCTATGGTTCATCACTGGCACTCACGTTTCTCCTGAACATACAGGTACCCTTCCATGGTGTAGGGACTGATGGTCTTGTGCTCAAGGGGATTCTCCTTCATCTTTTTCATCAGTGATTCCACTTCTGACCTGGTACCTTCGAAGCGGTTTCTTGTCTAGGATGAAAGGAATTTTATTTACATCAAAGAAATGAAACCTTATTCCCAACAGTAACAATTCAAAACATCAACCTAGTGAGCCTTCAGATCGAAAACCAGGTAACAGTCAGCCACCTAGAAATTAGGCAAATACTTTCAAGAAATACCCATTGACCTTAAAGTCCTATACCAGAATGACTCTCAAATGCTCAAGACCATCAAAATCACCTGGAAAATATGGAGAAAATGCAAATGTCCAGGCCTCACCCCTAAAGATTAATTAAATACCTCTGGACCCAGAAATGTGCATTTTAAATAAGCATCCCAGGGGTGCCTGGGTGGCTCAGCTGGTTAAGCGTCCGACTTTGGCTCAGGTCAAGATCTCACGGTTTGTGAGTTCGAGCCCCGCATCAGCATCTGTGCTGACAGCTCAGAGCCTTCAGATTCTGTGTCTCCCTCTCTCTGCTCCTCCTCCACTCACATTGTCTCTCTATTTCAAAAATAAATAAAAGTTTAAAAAATTAAAAAAAAATAAATAAGCATCCCAAGGGATTCTGATTCAAGCGGCTCACAGGAAATGGTCTTCAGAGTCCCCTTCAAGACAGAAGAACTTACTTCTCCAGCTATAGGGAATATTACTTGCTAATGGTTCATAGATGGTCCCCTCCTGAAAAGGGAGCTGCTTCACTCAAGGTAATCTGCACCCCAGCACTAGTCAAGGCTAGGGGCAAAGGGGGAAGGGGTCCCAAGCCTGGCACCCTTTCTTTTTTTCCCCACACTCTGAAGGTCCATGCCAGCGCCAGGGTGCCCCAGGGCACTGACTGAGGCCTCATAGCTCAATTTCTCCTGGAGGGGTCTGCTGCCCTCTCTCTCCCAGGTGATTCTGCTAACCCTGCTCCCCTATAAACCTGCCGCAGGTAAACCTCCACTTCAGAGTCTACCTTCGGAGGAGGAAGGTGGCCTAAGGGGAAGCCATGCTTTGTGAAACCTTGTCTGTGACTCTGCCACTTCCTGTTTTCCAAAACAACAAAGAGAACCATAGGGGAAAAGGCTCCAGGCTTCTAAACCCATGCAATACAACCCGCAAGGACACACTTGGGTTTCTTTGCTACACAGGATCATCTAGAGACAAAGACAACATACAGACTAACACAGCCAGTCATACGGCGAAGAAGGGGCTTGAGCCAGCTCACTGCTAACCAAAGGGCCCTTAGCAGGATTCGGAGCATCAAAAGGTCCTGCTGGTTAAAATCTGGGGAAGGAGACTGGGAGTCAACAGCTCTGACTTGGATTTCCTGTCAGCCTTACTGAAAGCTGAACAAGAGTACATCCTTTGAGCTAGAGGCCAGCATGTATGCCCCACCCCCATCCCCTGAACACACTCCAAGGTTCTTGTGGCCAGGCAGCTACATGCACAGAAGGGAGGCTGGGCCTTCCACTGCCAAAGGAAATCCTGATCCTGGTGCTACAGATTTAAAAAAAAATAGCAGGACTTACGAGAACATAAATAGTGCTTAGAAATAACAGAAAAAAGGATGATGCTCTAACCTGGGGCCACCAAGCACCCGAGAAATGCCTGCCCCCAGCTGCCCTTTGAACCCAGGCAAGACCCATGCTCCTCATGCATTCTAATCCACGTAAGGGATCTCTACACAACCAGACCCATACTTTGTTCTTTCCTTCCCTGAACCAGGGAAAGGAAGCCTGCCCCTTGGCCACTCACGTTCTGTATGCTAATGGTCAACTGCGTCTTGAAGTCACCGAAGTCCTTGGCCAGTTCATAACCATGGTGATAGAAAGTGAAGAGTCCTTGCAAGAACGCCAGTAGCTGTAAGGAAGGAACGAGGGCAGAGGTCACATCAGCAGGCTAAAGAGAGATTATGTAGCTTTATCCGAATTCCCAACCTTGGTTTGAAAGCCTCGAATAAAGTAATAAAAATGCCTATCATTTAATGAGTGCTAGCTACTTGCATGCCCGACACTGTAACATCTTATGCCTGCCCTCACTAAATGCTCATAAAGACCTAGAAGTTGAGTACTATTGTTGTCTCCATTTTAATATTGAGAAAGCAAGTTCAGAAACATTAAATAACTCGCTCCAAAATCTTAAGTAACAATCAGGATTTGAAACCAGATTCACCTGGCACCAACATCCAAGCTCATACTCTGAGCCTCAGCACTTTCTAAGAAAATCACTTCTTCAGAAACTGAAGACCAGTCTCCAAGTGCAACTCAGTCTCCTTCAAATACATCTGTAGTATCAGGGTACCATGCAGGAAAGTATGGTTATACTGAGAGCCAACAAAGAGGGAAGACAAGGAAGCTGTATGTCCCAAACCTGCAGTGTAACAGTCAAAGTTAAAAAAAAAAAAAAAAAAATCACCCAGAGCAGGCTTCAGCTCAAGTGTGCTTCTGTGCTTTCCTTTAAGCAGGTAAACACTATGGATGCCGTAATTAAAATATTCCCATGTTTCCACATTTTCAGTTATGATGGCTCCCCTAAATTGTCCTTTAAATCCCCCTAAGCTAAAACATAGTAAGTCCATTCACTATTTAGTCTTGTCTTAAATGAAGAATGAAAACATCTGTTCAGCATGATTCTCATAATACACCTTCATACACTTAAAACTACTAAGATCCCCACCCTGAGCCCTGCCAGTCTTTACTTTTTCAGCCTCAACAAATGTTCATGCCATGTTTCCTCCCAGAACCTACACGCAAACCTACTGTTGTTAGGTTTCCCTTGCCCCTTCCCAAACTCTACACATCCTGCCTCAGTACCAAACCTCAATCAGAAGAAAGGACTGTAATAAAAGTCTAAACAAGGTTTAAAAGAACCACAACTTTACTTTGTTACAAGCTCAGTCATACTGCATTTGGGGACCATCCCTGTGGTCTGAGTGGTCCACTCTGATTTCACTGACCTGCCTCCAATACATGTTACATAAAGATACAGCTGCTTTAAACAGATGTTGGCAAGGATGTGAGAATGCAAGGAAAGAGGAACCCTCTTGCACTGTTGGTGGGAATACAAAGTGGTGCAGCCACTCTGGAAAACGGTATTGAAGTTCCTCAAAAAATTACAAATAGAACTACCCTACAACCCAGCAATTGCACTACTAGGAATTTATCCAAAGGACACAAAAATGCTGATTCAGAGGAGCACATGCACCCCAATGTTTATAGCAACACAACATTATCAACAATAGCCAAATTATGGAAATGCCCACTGACCTATGAATGGATCAAGAAGATGTGGTGTGTATGTGTATATATATATATGTATATATGTATGTATATATGTATATATGTATGTATATATATATGTATGT